GATTCATAACCACTACGCTACCAGAGCAAGGTCACTGAGATTAATGTTAACAGTTTAGGAGACTAGAAGTGTGTATTCAAAGCATCAACTATCTCTGCTGGCTCTGAGACAAGGTCTTTGTCTCCTTTCAGCATCTGTAGGCCCAGCATTCCTTGGAGATCACCATGCATCTTGGCATCAATCATCCTTGGATCTAGGAACGTCACAGTACAAGGGCCCCCAGGTCCAAAGGACACACTCCATTTTGGACTCTTCTTTCTTGGTGGTAGTAGGTCTCTCCTTTCTTCTTTGTCAAATCAAAGATGTCATAGCCCACACCCTAGGAAACAATCTTACATTGGATCAGGGTTGTGGTGGAATTAAGGGTATTGTATTGGTTTATCCTCTCAGATGACATCGTCAGGGCTCATCACATAACTGCCACATTATGTCATTACACAACTGTCAAACTACTAAGAAGCATGACCCAGCCAACTTGACACATATTTTAAGGGTCATAGTTCAATGTATGACAACAGCAAAAACATACCAAATCAAATTTCTGCATGTACATTTCAGTGACATTGATGACATTCTTTGAGTTGTCCTTCCTCCGTTAACATACAGTCACCGTCCCTTAAAGTTCTTATCTCATCTTTTGAATTGTTGCCATCCGTTTGATACTATATAGCTAGATCTTAAAAGAGCACAATGCTCAAGACAGACACTCTGTTAATTAAGCATAAATTGCCAGTCGCTCTTCATCCTTAGATCTTCACATCATTCTCCAGTGCTATTGATCTTGTCATCATCCTTGTTGAGTTTCCCTTCCTTGATTTTTTTTTTTGTTTGTTTCTTCAAGGGGGTTTCCTTTGCCTGACCCTCCTTTGTTGTGGTGCTATTGACAGATATCCAATGTTACTTTCATGACTTCATGAAATTTCACATTTTTACTCTTAAGTCTCTTTACAGTGTATTTGCCCAATATAGCCTGAGAACAGCTGCCGCACAAAGCCTAGGACTTAACTTGGGAGTAGGTGTTAGAGAAAAGCCAGGAGGGGTGTTTGGGCGTTCATTTCAGTTCATTAATGAATATTTTCATATTAAAATGGCTTTCCCTTCCTTCAGGGGTTCTGGGAAATGACCTTTACTAATAGAGCTCCTGTAACTCCTGGGTAAGATTTCTGGAGTTCAGAAATATGTGAAAAAACAGACCTTGAGCTTGGAATGTATAGTATGCTCAGGGAGATAAACTTGTCAACAAATGCTTACCAGATACTGTGATAAAATGCTATCATTGATTATATATGATGTCTAGAAGTATTATGGACGTGTGGAGTAGGGAAGCTAGCTCAGAAACAGTTATATATTTGCTGGGTTTTGAAAGATATGTAGAAATTTGCTAGGTAGACACTGGCTGGGATAGAGGGCATTCCTAGAGAGGGAGCAGCAGGTGTAGAGATATAAAATAAAATAGTAAGTTGTGTCTAATGGAAGTGGGAGGGACATACAAGAGAAAATGAGACCAAGGCATGAGGGCCATGTAGCAATCAGACGTGCTTTAAGAAGTTGGCAGGGGAAACTGGAACTCAAGAAATGGAGTGCAGGGCAACTTGCCTTGGGGGAGTGTGGGAAATGTGATTAAAAGTTGGCCAAAGGTATCTGGGCAATTGTACTCAAGGAAGGATTTTTACTTTTAGCTTTTAATCCTGTAGCCCTCTCAAGTGAGCTTCCCAGTGAAGGGACAGGATACCTACTACGCACCATGTTTTGCCTGAGGGGCATGGATCACCACAGTCCTGTAAGGCAGGAGATGTTTTCTCCATTTGAAGAGGAGGACACTGAGGTGCAGAGAACTGATTTGCCTGCCAGACGTTAGCACAGAGCTGGGATTCGAGCTCTTTCTGAGACCCTGGAAACCTCCCAACATTGGTCTTGAAGTGTGCAGGTTGAGGACTGAGCCCAATACGGACAGCCCTGTGCCTGCAATCAGTCACTTCTCCCAGGTTCCCTTGCTGATGTCAGAGTGCCAGGAGGCCCTTTGGAACAGTTGGAGCTACTATCTGGCCTGACAGTCAGGCCCAAGGAGGCAGACCACAATCTGCATGGCCTGAGGTTAGAATGGTAGCAATAAGGGCTTTGAAATCAGCTTGCCTGTGCTACAATCCCGGCTTGATTGCAAACTTGGCAGGTATTAAGTCACTCTGGGCATGGGTTTCCTCAGCTTTTAAGTGGGAATAACAGTTGTGTCCACCCTATCAGATTATTTGTAAGGATCAGTAAGTCAAGTATGAGGCACTTCGACATGGGAAACAGTGGAGGTGTTATGGCTACGATTATAATTCTATCATTTACATATAGGTTTGGTTCATGCAACAGAGACTCAGAATAGCAGTGGCTTCACAAGGTGAGAGCTTATTTCTCCCAGAAACATTGGCATGGCTGTTGTGGCTTCCTCACATTCTCAGGGGCCCAGGCCCTGTCAGCCTGGCTGCTCCACCTTCCCCCTCCCTTCAACTATGATGCCTCAGCCTGCTGTCTCCTTAAGGTGCGACCCAAACTGCCCAAACGAATTTCA